ACATGAGTCGTTTGGAAGTGCACACTGCTGGGATAACAGTTGACTGACCTGTCCTGGAGGTAAACCTAGCCAACCTGACTGCCCAAAACAAAGCAGGACGCTGAGAGAAAATGAAGCCAACTATAATTAATGCAAACTACTATATATAACACATAGCTCTTAGATGAGCATGACCTGTCAAGCAAACATAGTAACAACTGATAACCAGGCTCAGGATGTTCGTATGCAAACAGAACCTACCACCACCCAGACACATGGTGTAACATGCTGTGCAGTCAGGTGAATAAATGAAAGAGGTGAATATACAGCCTCTGTTTGTATTAACATTAACGTTAACATTATCAACTCTGTCCTCGTTGAACTTTCATGGACTGCACACTGTGAAAGCACGATCACAAAAGACAGGAGTTTTAAACAGGTTTACAACCTAAGCGAGCTCGACAAAAGACAATAACATTAAAGAAAAACTGTTGCAGCCACTTAGTTTGGTTCTGACTGTAGGGGGGCTTTAAATAGAAACTGCTTTTTACTCACTCACAACTTGGTGCATTAGGAAACAGCCCCAGTTTTTAAATTAGATTAGTCCTGTCTTTCCAGAGTCAGTGTCTTGAACATACTGCAGCATTGTAACATTGAAATCTGGCATCAAAAGCTTGGCAAGATTCTTTGGCTTGTTACTTATTATTTCATCAGATACTTCCTGATTTAAATCTGGAAACGTTTCTAAATTGAATCTGCATTTTATTTCACACCGATACACTGAGTAGTTTGGAAAAATTCTGAATTAATGAAAAAAGGGTTAAAGACCCTGCATGCCCATGTCCCTATTCTGTCTGATTAGTACTCTGTGGTTGTCTACAGATACTTAATTGACATCTACTTCATTCTCCAGTTGGCTTTAGTGCACCAGTTAGGGCAGAACAAATGATATGCATATTGGCACCAATATTAAAAACGTTTGAAGAGAGTGCATTGGGAGAGCATCATACACAGGGTGCAACAGGAAAAGCTTAGGTGTAAAAAATAAAAATGAATGATGTCTGAATTCCATTTAGCTGCTTCAGTTTCAGGGCCAGGGTGTGCTTGTTCAGGACTACTACTACTTTTTACTATTACTTTTTCTGTCTTTACTAGTAATAATCCAACAAGTCCAAAACTGTGGAGTAAAGTTGAAAAATAAAATTTACTTTTAGTTACTAGCTAGGGCAGCAACTAATGATTATTATATTTATATTTTCCCAATTCATAATTTAATTATTTGGTCCATTAAATGTTGTATTGTCTTGTCCACCAACAGTTCAAAACACAACGTTATTTAGTTTACTATCATAGAAGGCAAATATTCACATTTGAGCAGCTGAAATCAGAACATTTGGACTTTTTTTTCTTGACTCAGTACTGATTATTAAAATAGTTAGTTAGTAAACAACTAATCCATCCATCTACTAATTGTTGCAGCTCTAGTAGTAGTAGTAGTAGTAGAGTTTACGCAACAGTACAATAAAGGTCAATTCTCAGCTTTAGATTATAATTGGGAAAGCAGACAGCAAAAAAATATAATATAATATAATATAATATAATATAATATAATAGCTTTTTCACTGCATCTGCGTTGACTTTTTAGCAGGGACGAGATATCATTGTTATTGTGTTCTCCCTCTTGCTGGCTGTAGCCATAGCTCACAATCAGATCTGATCTGAAATGAGAGCCATTTCGAGGGACTGATTCAATATTCAAGACACAGTTTACATTCATGGATCAGCAGGAAGCAGAGGGGAAACACTATTTTTATGGGGGAATTAATGGGCTCCAAGGAAACAGTGCAATGTGCGTTTTCCACATTGCACTACAAGCGAAGTATCAAATGGAGCATGTCCCCCACCTTTATGTGCCTTTTATGTGAGAACACTAATTTGCAATTTAAAGTGAGATTCGAAGCAAAGGACTTTCTTTGAGAGAGGAAATGTTTACACCCGACATGTCGAGCTAGTTCATGGCCCTTGTGTGTGTAACCAAACTTTTGATGCTCTAATTCAGGTGCCTCGTACATTCAGCCTCACTCTGCTCTCACTACAATCTACGAGATGACCCAGATTCCAGGCAGCACCCTGCTGAAGAGAGGAGCAACTTTGTGCCAAGCTTGTACGGGCATACAGGAAAATAGACTACATTTATGATGAAGCTACTACTGTCAGACATACTCCTTCAATATGAGAGGCAGGTAGACAGTTTAAATCCTGTAAGACTGGAGAAATGATTGGATAACATGCAAGCACAGTTTATGAAGTCAACATAATGCCATGTACGGTTTCTCTGATGCACAATTCAGGTTTGGATTGATTAGTTGATGGAGTCTTTACTGCTGCAGAGTATTACGACTCCTGCACAACAGCTCAAGTGCATAAAAGCACATAAGCAGCCACCTCTCTCTTCCTGTGCTGGTATCTGTATGGAGTGTCAAGCACTGGCTCGGTCTCCAGCGCCAAATCCACACTGACAAGACTATTCAACTAAGTTGCTCTGCGGTCTCTCGGTCTTCCCAGTCAGGTCAAGCAGCAAGATCCAGAGAAACAAACACAGGAGGGGAAATCACTAACAATGCGTTGTTTTATGGGTGCAAATAACAGACGGTAATTGCCCCACAAGATCTTCCACAGTCAACAAGAACTAACAGCAAGATGATTGGGTCAGTCTACACCTGAATGACACGGAGAGGAAGCATTTTATCTATAATGCAGGAGAAAACAATGCTGTTTAAATGCAAATATTTTAAAGGACAATGTGCACATGTAACAGGAAAAACAAAAAGACCAATTACTTTGTATAAACTGATCAATAACTTGTATCTATTTAGGAAAAGCTGTTCTAAAATGATTTCAGTGTGTGTTTATAGTCTTCAGACCGCACTACAGAAGTCAAGCAAAGCATGCAGCTTTCGTACAGAATATGCACATGACAGGGATCTACCAAGCGTGTTAGTATGTTATTACTAATGATTCAAATGACATTACTAGTCCCATATACATACAGTTCTCTCAACACGGTTCTCTCGTTACTTTCAGACAAATGAGGCATGTCAATAATAACGTTAAACCAAGTTATCCTTCATTACAAAAGGCATTGTTTACCAAAGCCAAGTAAACACCAACGTGCATTCAACCTAGGCTGGGTGGGGCGTTAGAGGCCATACGTTGACCCATTCAGATGAACTTGTGTCGGTGTATAACCCAGCTGTTTCGGTTAAAGTTAAAGTGGTACTGAGTTTCACTGCAGCATCTAAGGCAGAAAAGGGGCTCATAATCTGATCTCTAGTCATACAGACTGGCTGAATACAGAGATGGATTACATTACTGACAATCTGCCTTTGACTGCTTTACCTTCCTTTAAGCGAACAAAAACAAAACTCGCAAAAACACAGGATTAACATACAGTATGCACCTTCAGAAAGGCGTCCATTATGGTAAATGTAACCACGTTTCCCATTAAGAGGTCACGTATGAACTGAGGGCCAATACCACAATGGACCTCTTAGAACAATAACGTATGAAAAGGACTATTAAACCAGGCTACTAGATTTCAATAGCCAAACCCAGATTAGAAATCACTATATCCTTTTCAACATGTACATTAACTCATTTGCCAGCATCTTGCACACTGGCTGGGCATTAAAGACATGAGTGTTTGGAAGTGCACACTGCTGGGATTAACAGTTACTGACCTGTCCTGGAGGTAAACTAGCCAACCTGACCTGCCCACAAACAAAGCAGGACTGCTGAGAGAAAAGCAAGCCAACTATAATTAATGCAAACTACTATATATCACACATAGCTCTTAGATGAGATGACCTGTCAAGCAAACATAGTAACAACTGATAACCAGGCTCAGGATGTTCAGTATGCAAACAGAACCTACCACCACCCAGACACACTGGTGTATACATGCTGTGCAGTCAGGTTGAATAAAGAAAGAGGTGAATATACAGCCTCTGGTTTGTTATTAACATAACGTTAACATATCAACTCTGTCCTCGTTGAACTTTCATTGGACTGCACACTGTGAAGCACGAACAAGACAGAGTGTTAAACAGGTTTACAACTCTAAGCGAGCTCGACAAAGACAATAACATTAAAGAAAAACGTTGCAGCCACGTTAGCTTGCGTTGTTTAGCTAACGGTGTTGAACTGAATCATTTCCAGCTACAATGTCACTTATTTCCTTCAGTTTGTATTATTAAATATGACTTAAACGTGGTCTTCTATTGTGCATTTAAACAACTAATAGGTTTGTCTTGGTTCACAATATTTCAAATCCGAACATGACGAAACATTTTCAGCGGTATTATTTGGCAGAAACGACGAATGCTCGCTGACAAACTGAACCATAACGTTACTGACAACCCCAACAAAGTGGGAATGCAGCAGGTTAGCTAGCTGAGGGTGACTACAAAGGGAAATGAATATGGTTTTCAGGAAAAAGGTGGATTTTTATTTCCATTCGTGGCTGTTAACATTAACCTATTATAACGCCTGACTTGACACCAAAGCTTAATATACCCATATACAGTTGACCCCAATTTACACCATCGCAGCTGAACCAGGCAGCACTGTCACTTTAGCCACAAAGCTAACGCCGTATGACTGTAAGGATTAAGCATTAACGTTACTTTTTTTTCCCACCACAGCCTTGAACACACCGCTTACAGTCTTGTTTACTGGCTGCACGGCGCCATTACCACGGAAAGCACCACCTAGCTTAACGTTAACATTAACGCCAACATCTGCCCAGCGTTTACTTGCTCTGCAGCAGGAGGAGGGGGGCTAGCGTTAGCACCTTTAGCATCGTTAGCTACCTGCCACCCCCCACCGGTGGTTTTGCAGGGGGCATCGGAGTTTCCCGAAAAGCACGGCAAAATCGCACGGCCACCCACACACAGGCTGCCGTAATGTGTTTTGTGTATGTTCGTGTGTCTGTGCGAAGGCGTGCAGTCCAAGGACCATACCTCGGGATGGAGAATAGGGACGCAGCCAGCTTCTTTCTCATATTCCTCCATAGCGTCGGCCATCTTGGTGGTGATGTTCGCTGAGCATTGTGGGAAACGAGAGGCTGTGTAGGGGGGAAACAAACAGAGGAGGAGGAGAGAGGAGAGAGGAGAGAGGAGCTGTCAAAAGGACGGGCCATATCACACAGAAGGTCACATAATCATATCATAGCCAATGACTAGGGGGCCCTAATACAACAAAAGATTACTAATATCAAACACATGTATATATATGTATATATATATGGCATTATTATTACTACAAACATTACAGTTCCTCTAGGGGGGTTTATGTAGCATGCTGTATGTCTCTTGCCACTATGGGCTTATACGTGAAGACAAAATGGAACAGACAGAACACACCTGTCTACTGAACTTCATCCCAGACTCGTGCAGGACAGGAGGATCCGGACACGTCCAGCACTTGGGGGAAAGACTGTCCCTGTCTCTGCCCCTGTGAAGAAAGTGCTCACCTGCAGATCTCCCAGGCTCTGGACAACAAAATAGCCTTGGCTGTCACCATGTTCATCTGTTGCTTCCTGAGACTAAAATAAGCACATTGGGATAATATGAAAACAACACAATTTCCCTCAAAAGGTCAACGGTATATGGACAAGTGCAGAGTGGCCCATATTGCAGTTTTGCCCCGAGGTTAACCGATTGTTAATCTGACAACATCAGGCACAGCCAGACCGGCTCCACAGTAAACAGTACAACTGTTGTCTCACAATCATTGGTTTTTTAGGTGTATTGTGTGAAAGGTATATTACCAATCTTGATTTCATGATCATTCCAGGGCCATGCTGATATTATTTTGATATAATGCACCATTTTAAAATGTGTTGCTCCTACTACATTATTTATAATGCTATATAGTTCATTTACACATTCTACATTCAGTGGCCAGACACATGGCAAATTCAAATACATGTATGCAGGCTTAGTAAGTAACAGATTACATGTAATGGAGATTGAAAAAAAGGTGACTGTAATCTATTACAGTTACAGACATCATCAGATTTCGGTTACATTTTGTAAAAAAAATGTTTTTAAAGCAGAAAAGGAAACTGAAAATGGTCTATTGGCTACTGGCTGAATTTGCTTCATGAAAGTCTTTAAGTTCTTTAAGAAACACTGAGTAGATTATTCAACAGACACAGTTTCGATGCTAAAGAGTATGTTGTGTTGTTGACTTATACAATACTTGTCATCTTAAAAGTAACAGAAAATAATCAAGTTACACTACATTAATATTGTGATACTTGGATTAGATTACTGACTACATTTTTTTAACAGGTAATTGTATTGGATTACATTTTTAAAGTTACATTTTTAAACGCTCCCAACACTGCACATATGTCCAATCAGTTTTGCTTAAAAGAACAAGGACAAGGTTTCCTTTGCAAATGCAATCTGGTTCCACTAATTTGATTTATAATTTGAGTAATTCAATTTCTGCCATCAACCTTTCAAACACATCAAGTCATTATGCGGGCCTATTTATTTTCTGTTCCAAATCTGGGAAGCTTCAGCAACTACATTGGTTGAGAATGCATATTCATACAGCTGCTTTACTTGCACAAGTATGTCCTATACTCATTGAACATGCACACACAGCGTATGCATGTATGTGTGTAAGGTTCATTGCTCATTGTATTAGACTGAAGCTGTTGGTAGCAAATATTTTGGGACAAAATTTCCATATGCTTCTTTACATTACATCACAAAACATTCACAGTTAGAAAGGGCTCACAGACAGCATATCGGTGATCAATCAGTGATGGAACAACAAAACCCTCCAAAGAAACGGAAGACAGATTCAATTATTTCAGGTGAGACAGAAGCTCCAAAATACAGGGTTAATCTTTAAATGAGAAAAAACAAACACTCAACAAAACATAATTTAATGAACAGTAACTATTGTTTTTCTAATATGACAACCTCAATAAGGACAAATTTAACTGGATGATATCTGTCATTTCATAAGAAGGCCAGAAACTAGGAGAAACAGCACGCACAACATTGCAGTTACTCATTTGTGCCCATAGATGTTCTCCATGTGCCGCCACACACATCTCCACTAACTGAAACCATCATCCATCAGCCACTGGATGTCACTCTTTAGCTAAGCAAGCATACATGCAGCTCCCTGACTGAAAACAACTGTAGTAATAATCCTGTATAGTCTATAAACCTGCAGATTTTACAAAGCGCATCCAATATTGTCAGAGGAGCTAATCAATGTATGAATGTATGAATGTATATAGGATCATTGCATATATTCCCTAAGCTATTATAGTTTACAACGACTGCCAGAAGCATGATAGCCAGGTATTAATGGGATGTTGCATCATTATTTCCGCTCTCAAACACACAAATATCATTTGTCAAATATGTATTTTATTACACTTAATACTAAAATGACTGTATTTCATATATACATTGGATAGAACATTTCCCAGAGAAGAGGGTCATAATGGGGTTGGCCATTGACTGTTTCTTATAACTAAATGATGTCTTTGAAGGGTTCAGCTCATTTAAAGCGCTCGTTTGAAGCAAAAGAGGACTGATCACATGTTTTTGATGCCCTGTACTACCAAGCACATCAGATGACGAGCACAATCAAAAGGAAGTATCCTGTTGTTGCGTCAAGCTACCCCATAAAAATCACCGGCAGGATATCGAGCGCTTGGCCTTCAAAATAAAGCCAGGACTAGAGGATCGGGACAAAAATTGAGCTATATTGTAAAAATATAAATACTTCTACTACCACTAATAATGAATAGTAACAATATATACTTTATTTAGAAAAGGAATTAAGCACAACCGTAATTGCTGGATGAATAATAAAAATAATTCATAAAGGAGACAGTCACAGTAATATGAATATAAGTTAGTTAAAACAAAGTTATTAGGTAGTAAGACTAATGAAATATTACATAGGCTTAATAAAAAAACAATGTTCATGATGAGTCCAACTTTACAGTAGAGGACATTTAGAATGTGATGGTAAAAAAATCCCACTTTTTTCAATGTGCCTTGCAAAAAACTAAAAAACTAAGAATATCATGCCACATTTCATACACAAATGTTATTATTTTGTATGTGTAAGTTGAATGTCTCAGTGTGGGGTGAACAATTTAGGTTGTTGACACAAAAGGAAACGTTATGTAAATTTTAAAAGCAGCCAAAAATATACATCTTTGACCTAACTATAACTTATTTATTATCATGATTTGTATAATTTTAGGATTGGGAGGTCTGCAGAAGATTTAAGACTTTTTATATATTTAAAGTCTGACTGAAATGATAAATTACATTTTAACACTTTAAGATTGCATCCTCAGTCCTTGTTGGTGTGTGCCAAAGAAATTACAAAAACTCAGTTTATTTGATTTTTTATATCTAAATTCAATCTGTTACACATGCTTATGTAAACATGAACCAACCAATTTCAACCAATAATATCATCATATTCACTCATCAATCATTCTTCTACTTTTACCATTATAAAAGTCTAGTTGAGAGAATTTTAATTCAATTAAATAATAAAGGAAAGCACTGAGTGAAATAAGATTATGATTAAAGGCTAATTATTGTATAAACAGAAAGAGAGCAGTTTGCTGCTTTGATGTGTCTTTTAATTTGAAAATTGCAACCGGAAATGTGATTCATTCCGGTGTAATTGACCTTTGCCCACTCAAACCCATGACAGAATAGTGCTGGCGGGCTAGTGGCTAACAAGTTGACTGAATAGCGGTAGTATATGGACAGTAGAAACCGTACCAGTAATTTTGAAATTAATTTTGAAATGTACAAACTTGAATATCAGGCCAACATGGCGCCGCTGGGCTGAGGAAGACGCGGACATCGCCAGCTAAAGCCGCGAATGCTTAGAAACAAACATTAAAACGTCGTCGGCTAACAGTTAGCAGACAGACAAACGTCCCTGAGGACAGCCTGAATATCTACAGCCCCCGTCCTCCTCCTGTGAGCCAGTCGGACAACCTACCGGGAGACCCCCAACCAAGCAAAGGTGAGTGCCGGGAAGAAATAAACAAATAGCGGGAACTAAACACAAAAACGCTGACTTCCACCACATGCTAATGTTGATTAAACGCAGCTAGCTTAATTGCTAATTCGCTCTCTCTCTCT